AGAAATGAAATAAAAGTTTAGAGCTGAGCGAATATGGACATGGCACTGAGACCCTTGTTGTAGTTCTCGTCAGTATCTATTTTATTAATTAAAGATAATTTGTCATTTAGCTTTAAAGCAGCACATCTTGACCTCCTTCTCTGACCAGGCGACCAATCTAGCAGATGTGGAGAGGCTGTGGACATAATCTGCCTATACTTTAGTAAAGCCTTTGACGCTGTCATCCATAGCAGTCTTCTGGAGAGGCTGGCAGCTCTTGCTCAGATGGGCGTACTCTTTGCTGAGTAAAAAACTGACTGGATGGCTGAGTGATGGTGAGTGTAAGTAGTGGTGAATGGAGTTCAGTGAATCTAGCTAGTGACTGGTCACGAGTGGTGTTCCATAGGGGTTGGTACTGGGGGCAGTCCTATTTAATGTCCTTGTTGATGATCTGGATGAGAAAATTTTCAAGATGCAGTTGGACAAGGAGCTAGATAATCTCATCAAGGCTCTCTTTTCCCATGAGAGACTGAACTTGGTGATCCTTCAGGATCCCTTCCAGCCTGGGCTGTTCTGTGGAACTATGGTTCTCATCTGTGATACAAACCACATCTCTCTCTAACTGCTACAAATTATGCATATAGAAAAAATACAGTTGTTCAGTTGCCTAAATTACAGAGTTTCTTAGCTAAAGTGCCTAAGTTCCATTTTCCAAAACCTGAAGACAGCAAAGGATCTGGGGCATAAATGAGTCACAGCCTAAAACAGTGGAGTCAGGATGTGGCTGGGACATTGACACCTGTGGGTAGCAGATCCAAGGCCTCAGATTAGGCATAGTTTAGCAGCATATCCTTCCTGTAAGAATGAAACAATTGCAGAAAGAATAACATGCACCAGGGTGGCATATGAAACCCGTTGCAGTTTTTTTGTATTATGTAAAATGAAACTTGCCTGCCTACTGTAAGCTGAACTTTGGCTACTGTTGGCCTATTGAAAATTCTCTTTGGTTTGGCTTTGAAAGAGACCTTCAGCTTGCTCTGTTATATTTTAAAGCACTACAGATTTTTAAGCTAGTTATTTTACAGCCTGAGATAATGATGATTCATTCAGTTTGCTTTTGTAGAGCTTTACGTGTAGAGCTTTTAATCACCAAGGTAATTAAATGTTTGTTATCAGGCAATAATAAAACATAATAATCTCTAGCAATTACAAAGGCCTTAGAACCTGAGGTTGAGATCACCTAGGAAAAGTTGAACGTTTTAAGTAATAGATTTTCTTGAAAAATAGTCTTGCCTTTGTGCCCTATTTTAATAAATACTTGTTGGCTGAAAATTCTTTTTTGGTAGTTGAGTCTCCTGGCAATCAACTCAGTATCTTATTTAATATTCCAGCTTCACTGCATTTGGACTGTTTTACGGTATATTGTTTTCTATGCTTCAGAGACATTTCTGTGCTGTTGTGATGGATCTGCTTTGAAAGATCAGTGATTCTTTTGTGATTCTGCAGAAAGCACAATGTCCCATATTTTTGCTTTGCTAAATAACTCTTTTGTTTTAAATACTGTTTAAAACTATTCAAATTTGTTTTAAATTTAGCAAAAAATATATACAAATAATTTCAGAGTATTGTATTAAATTTATGTATAAATATTTAACAACATGCACTATGATATACCTACTAGAAGATCTATACTACTCATAGCATATACTTTATGATGTCTGTATATGCTGTACAGTTACAGAACTATCCAACTATTTAGCATAAGTATCTACAATCATATCAAAATAAATTCTTTTTTAGAGTTAGTGTATCTCTGTTTTATTATGCACATTAATGAGAAGATTAATGTGTTGTTTCTTTTCTGTTGAAGGGAACAGGCAGACAAGCATGTTTTGTTAAGTTGCTGCTACATTTTTTTTTAGTGAAAAATCATTAAATTTGGTAAAATTGAATGAATTGAGTGCGTTGAGTAGAAAGAATTGAATGAATTTCAGCAATATTTTTCCATCAGAGCAACAAGCTGGATTTCAGCAGGAGACTGGACACGTATGGGCTAATAGAAAGATTTTGCTGGTCCCACCTTTAAGACAAGCAAGTACTGACAGAATATGGCTTTTGGACTTTGATGAAAAGAGACAATTAGGGCTCAGCCTATGTGCTTAGATTGATTGATTTGAACACTGACTTACTTAGATTTGCAGAGAACTAAAAAGCCCATCTTTTGGACTGAGAATCCAGTGATGTTAAGGAAGGCCGTTTGTTTGGTGTATTTGGAAGTGTATTTGACAAGAAGGAAATCATAGAATCATGGAATCATCTAGGTCAGAACAGACTTCCAAGATCATCAAGTATAACCACCAACCTGACCTCCTGAGACTAATGAGGTCTCCCCTCATCTTCCTCCAGAAAAAAACAACCCCTGTTCTCTCCTCATATGCACTGCATTCTAATTTCTTCACCAGCTATACTGTTCTTCGCTGAACGCGTTTCAGCAATTCAGTGTCCCTCTTGTCGTGAGGGACCCCGAACTGAACACACTACTCAAGGTGTGGTGTCACCAGAGCTGCATACAAGGGGACAACCAATTCCCTAGTCTTTCAGATGACACAGTTTCTGATTAAGGCCAGAAGCCATTGGCCTTCTTGGCCACCTGGACATGCTTCAGGCTGACGTTCAGCTAGCTGCTGACCAGCAGCCCCTGGTCCTTTTCTGCTGAGCAGCTTTCCATCCACTTTTGCCCATGCCTGTAATGCCACGTAGGGTCGTTATGACCCAAGTGCAGGGTTTGGTCCATCACTCTGGGCCTTGGACTACGTCTCTGTCTTGGCAGCAGAGATACCTGTGGTGTCTCTCAGGAATGCTGGTGAGCTTTACTTTTTTTCAGACCCTGTCTGTGTAGCTGTCCATCCCCACTGGCACAAACTTCCTCATTGGAGAGAACTGAAGCAGTTTATGTTACAGTTCCTCACGGTAGAGGGACAGCTGAAGTTACTGAGGTTGTTGTGGCTCATGTGTTCGTAGTTTGACTCAGAAACTGGCTCCGTCTCTGTCCCGTTTTGAAGCAAAAGAAGATTTTTTTTTTTTAATTTTGAGACTTGTATTTCATCCAAGTTCCTTATCAGAGATCTCCAACTGTTTCTGCCACCTCTGAGTTCAGAATGAATCTGATCATAGTTCTTCAGTGTCACTGTCTCAACATATAATCCTCTACTGGGAAAAAGAGGAGCCTGTGGAATTATGCCAGATTACCTTAGCAAGGAATCTTCTCCTTCAGCTAAAAGGAAAGGGGTGGAAACCCCACAGAGCAGAAGGGAGAGTGAAGTAATTAATTTGCAGGTCTTGACATATGGCTGGGAGAAGGGCTTCTGGGGAGGTTGGGAAGGCAATGTTTTCAGCAGCCTTGGTCAGCCTTCATCTGGATGTCTGCAACAACTGAAGGGTTTCTTCAGACTCATCTGGACAGTGGTTTTCTTTCTTCCTTGAACCTTGTATTTTCTTCATGTGAGGAGTCTTTCCTATCATGGGAGCCCTAGCTTCAGGAGAAGGCTTCTGGTTCTACCCTGCAGCCAGCCTCTGTCTCAGCGGGCAGGCTGGCCCTCTCCTTGCATGCCTTCTCCAAGGATCTCAAACACCAAAATGCTGGAGGATCCAGGAGAAAACCCCATTACAACCCCTTTCAAGCATGAACTGTAAGTACTCTTACTCCTGAAAGTCAGTATGACTTCCATGATTTATTCATCCCGAGATGTATTCATCCATTCATTATTTATTTTCGTTTGTTTTACTACTATCATTACAATTTCATAAACAGCAGCGCAGAGAGAAAGATGGGACATTACAGAGAGAGTTAGCTGCTGGAGGAAGGTCATGGGCTTCGTTCTTCTTGGTCACTGGTAGTCTCCAGAATTGTTATCAAGGCTTATTACAGGGAAAGCAAAAGGTCATTTCTGTTTTCCTTTTTTTAGGTTAATGAAAGCCTTTTGTTTCAAGTAAAGTCTTCTTCACAGTCCTTTATAGTCTTTTAATATGATGAGGACACTAGACCGTTCTGAAGCGATGAGGGATTCTGCTGCGTGCAGAAGATGAGATGAAGGGGAAACTGACATTGCAGGTCCAGCATCTTCCCTCCTCATTTTAATCTGTGAATGCGGATTTCTGCATGTAGAAGGACTGAACTGATATAAGGCCTACTCAGATGATGAGTCGATTTAGATTTAGTATTTCAGGCTGTAATCTGGTTTGCTTATTACAAGGGAAATGGAGGATTGTGTTGAAAGGAAAAAAGGGAAAATGCAATGCAGAACGTCAGCTCTCCCTTGCCTTTCCTTCTCAGGCTCAAATGCGCAGTGTCCAGGCAGATAGTTTGGAGCTATCAATTTACTGTGACTCAGCTGTGGTTGCTCACTGTCTCAATATGCTCCTCACGAATCAGCTGTGAGGTAACACGAATTGGCTTAAGCCACCTTCATGATTGCTGTGTGGAGAGAGAAGTTCAAATATCAGGTACATTAAGGCACAGCACTGACAGCCAGTGGGTTCCCATTAGGGAACTCGAGCCTTTCTGTAGCACTATACTTTCTGAAATGTGTTATTGACTTTATAAAATCATAGCAGCTTTGTTCTTAGTACTGCCCTCTAGACCTACTTCTTTCCAACAATATACAGCCCTATTGTAAATCAATGTCCAAAACCACTGCAGCAGTACTACTTTCATCTAGAGGGACCATTTTGTAGAAAAGAGGCGTTTCTTTTTATTATTATTTTAAATAAACTATTTTTAATTTTGTAAGGAATCCTTCTGAGCCCTTTCAATCAGATGGATTATTCACTTCATAGTGCAGAAACGTGGTTGTTATTCATTAAAAAAAAAAAAAAAAAAAAGCAAGCAAGAAAGAAAAACAAAGAAAGAAAAAGAAAAAAATTTCTTCTACATGGAAAGAAAAATAAATAAATACATTACCACTGAATTAGATGATGGCATATAAGCCTTTTTTGTAAATCAGGAGAAGAGGTTAAGTAGTTGTAAAAAAGGCTTTAGCCCTGGGAAACATGCAGAGTGGACTGCATCAGATTTTATATGCCCTGGATTTTCAGAAGGACAGCATATCTGAAGCTTTGTTTAAAAGAATTGTGGTTTTTGAAATGCGTGAAGCCAGTAAAATGAACTTAAGGTCTTAGGGATGAAAATTTAATAAGGAAAAGAAACGCTAAATAATGCAGGGAAATGTCATGGATATTCGAACATTCTGTTGCAGAATATATGGTACAAACAGTTTCTTACAGCACAAAAAATCTTTTTGCTTTCCAGGTGTTGGCACAGGTAAGAACAGCTGTGAGATGGAGGAACACAAGCTGGCATCCTCTGTTCTCTTCAACAACTGTGCTAAGTTTGTTTTGTTGATTGCAGGCATGAAGGAGCATTGCAGGCAGTAGTTTCAGCAGACATGGTCTGCATCTGCAAAACGTAAGCAACCCAGAAGATGAGGTTATGGGCACTATTCCCTTACTTGGGCATCCTTGCTAATATCCTTTTGGCTAAGCTTCAGAAGGTCTCTGGCTGGCTGTGTCTGCAGTTATTAGGTCATATATTATACTGTAAGGATGCACCATTGGATAGCAATGCTTGTAAATGGCAGCAGTTTGCTTATTGGAGGACGCAGAAGAAAATTAAATTTGCTATTTGGGTTAGCAATCCTATGAGTAAGTAATGTTATCTATCCAGATCTTGGATGTATATTGGAATTCTGTGATATTTGTTAAGCACCTAAATAACTCAGTTCTGCATTAAATCATAGTCTAATTTTGGGTCCGTTTCACTCACATGTACGTCATAACTCAGAAGGTGGAGTGACTTAAAATATTTATAATATTGTGCTGTAACATACCTTAATGCAATCCCTGCATTTACATTTCATTTAGCTGTTATCCTGCCCTTAGGGAAATCTCTTTTGCCCAAGAATGCACATCCCCTGTAACAAAAAGGGTCACAAAAACAACAAAAAAAGAACCGTAGCAATATTCATAGGAAGAAGAAATGCCTGAAAATTCATTGTTTTATGATGGGGAACTTGAGAAGATGAATGGTAGTTTTCCAGTGGCTTAGGAAAAAAACAAAAAAAAAACCCACAAAAATGAAACAAAAAAAACCCCCACAAACAAAAAACCAACAAAAGAAACTCTAGGGAAATAAATGCTTCTGATAGAGTCACAGTTAAAAACGAGGAGAGCTTTGCCCCAAATTGAAGTTCAGCATAAACTCAAAGCCCCATGACTTGAAAGTACATCAAAAGTGGAAGAATGGTCTTTTGATCAAGGCATTGACCTGAGAGCAAGTACAGGTTCATGTCTTTGCTCTGCTGCAGACTTCCTGTCTTTACATCTGCTGTCTCTGTGCTGCTGTGCTTTCTTTTTTTTTTATGTAGTGAGACTGATAACATCTAAATTATATGCTGCTTCAGATGGGGCTGTCTTTGACTCTGCCCAGAAGTGAATAGTTCAGTGAGGGCTCACTGGTGTGATATGGTGGTGCTGTGGTAATGCTTAACACATTGGCAGGAACACTTCTCAGTCACAGCGTTTCTGATTTTGACGTGTTTTTTGCAATGATGTGTCACAGTTTCACTTCACAGTACAACTTCTCAGCAAGTTTTTAAGCTGAAGTTTTTTCCATTGGAAAGATCTAAGTGAAGTGAGTTAAAATATTTCATGAAAATGTATCAACCTCCTCGTATTCTAAGGTGTGTTGTGAAAACACTTTGCTGTGGATGGGACAAAAAGATTTCCTTCAAGTTTACTAGCTTCTTTTGCACCCCTGCAAAGAAATGTGAGCTTTAATAAAACTGAATATTTTAGAATATGTTGCTTCATGAACAACTGAAGGATTTTTGACATTTTGCTTTGACGTGTGATTAAAACAGCTGTAAGAAGTCTATGAATTTCCTCTCCAACACACATTCCACGTTTTAACCAGTATTACCGTACAGCGTCCACCGAGATCACAGTTTTAATAAAAATGTCTTCAAAGCTTTAATTCCACTGTTATTAATTCAAAAAACCTCTCAGAAGTTCAGTGTTCATAAAAGAAAAATCTTCTTGTGCTCACCGATATATAAATGTAATCCTTCTAATGCAGCAGCACTGAATAATGAGGAGCCAAAAGCTGCAGATCTAATTATTGGGCATCACTGGCTCAGGAGTCATAAAAACCTTGACTCTGAATAAACAACCTGATTTCTGTTATTGAAGTATTACATCTTGTACCAAACAAACGCTGTATCTTCTTACGATGAAGAAATGCATCTTTATGAAAAGATTAGATCAGCTGATTATGTAACAGTGTATTTTTGGCATGAAAACATCCAACCAGAACTAGTCCTGCTATCGCATGTCTTTACAATGAATTGTAATCAGGATGTGATAAGAAGGGAAGGAGATGGGAGCTGTCCATCAGTGCAGTTGGAGCAATGGGGCTTGCTGACTTCCCTGGGTTTTGTTTTGTTTGTATCATTAACCTGAGAAGCAAATGACAAATACAAAGTTGTATTTTCACTTGAAAGCAGTGCTGGAGGCTGGGGAGTAGGGCGAAAGTGCAGACGAGAGGGGTTGAAAGCATCCCTGCACCATGCTGGGACTCCTTGTCCAAATGCCTGGCCCCAAAGCCGCTGGCCTTACAGCCAGAAGCTCTCTGGTCTTCAAGGATTATTGCGGGGAAGATAAAGGTTGTTTGATCTCACTAGCTTTTATGGTCATCTCATTCCTGGGCAGCTTCTTTTTTTTCAAAGCATCCCTGAACTTTCAGCAAGCTTACCATTAGATCAATAAGAATATAGCAAGGTAATTTTGGAACAGCTTGCCTTGGGCTGATGGTTAGGGCACTACCTGCACTCCATATCTGCACACTGCTATTCATGTTCATTTGAGAGGTGTAAACATATTCTGCGTAAGTCCTTGGATTTCTGTCATACACATTCGATTGAATGATTAAATACCATTTATCTATTTCTCTAAAGGAAAGTGAATTTCCTAATTATGGAGATAACTCAGAAATGTTAAAAAAAAAAAAAGAAGGGGGAAAAAACCCGTTTAAAATGAGAGTAGTCCTTTTTGGGCTCTGTTTGGCTAGGATATTTACAAATCTTGAATCTGTACAGACACAGAAGCAGTACCTTTTGTAATACAAACACAGACATCTTGGAATCAGAAGACTGGAGACATGGCAAAAACAGACAGGCTTGCAGCAAGCGCTCATTTTAAGCAGTGGAGCAGGGAATGGCAGAGCAGGCATTGCTGTGGCGGGACAGGGTTTCAAATGAATGAGACTATCAGGGCTGCACGAGATAAAGAATTAGGAGTGTGCAAGTTAAGTATATCTTCAATTCAGGCCATTTTCAATTTAACATGAACAGATCCACTATTAGCTGCACAAACTGATAAAAATTATAATCAAGGAAAAAGCTATATATCACCGAACCTCTGTGCTAATATGGGACAGGAATTAATTTGGTCTTTGTTATATCAAATCAGGAGGCTAAGCTCACATTCAGCCCAGTGTGAAGTACCGACCACTACAACAGGATTTTCAAAGTGTCCTAATCATCCACGTACATCTGGATAACCTATCCATTATAGAAGAGACTTACAAAGGAAATTGGCTATAAAAGACTAATAGTTCAAATATAGCCATTCCTTTGTAGTCATAATGGGAAAAATTAAAACCTCCCAGATTAGATTTGAGGAAGTAGCGACAAGCGAGGAGCTGTGTGAGAAATGATGGACAATTATAGCACCTTGGCAAGGAACTGACGCTGTGGTAAGGAGACACCGTGTCTCACGAGCCTTCTGGAGACTGCTAGGAGTCAGAGAGCATTCAGGTTGTGGTTACTGAGTTGACGTAGTCCATCTGGATTTGCAGAAGATTGGTGGTTAGGTGTAAAAACTCTTATGGAAAATTTGCAGTGATGACATAAGGGGAAATATCTTTGAATAAGTGAAATTGATTCAGGAGAGTTAAAAAAAAACAAAAGCAAACCACAACAATTAAGAAATACTAAGGAAAGATCCCACTATCCTAATAATAATACAGTGACAGTTGAAATTTAGTGTAACTCAAATGTAAAAAGGGACAAAACATCCTGAGTTCACACAAGCTCTGATTTTACTAGCGATACTCAGGAGTGATACCTTGAGTTCCATAGTTATATGGAAATTTCTGATCACAACCACAGAATAAAAGAAGTCATAATAAAGTTGAAAGTTGACCTTTTTGCATTAGAAATCATAATGAAAAGAAAAAACAACAGAGAACCAACTTCCAAGTTTGAATGCAGAATGCTGTTCTGGTCCTAGCATTTCAAAGGATATAGAAGAACTGGCAATGTTTAGAAAAAGGCTCAGCAAAGTTACCAGAAGTGCTCCTTTGAGCTACAAAGGGCTGAAGGCTGTCAGGGTCTTGGGATTATCATTTGCCTTGCTCCTCAGGCACGTGCTTTAGTGCCTTGGTGGAAACAGAATGGATGTGCTGTCCTATTCACTCTGGTTTGCTTTAGTCCTTCTACAACACTGTATCAGCAACAGATCAAAGCAATTTCTAACTTCAGGGCCTGCTGTGGTCCAAGGTCTAAGAAAAAACTTCACTATATAACGCTATAAATATCACAGTTTCGTCAAGATCCTCTGGCTGAAATACAAGCCCAGACCCGTTTGCAGAGAAATCTCTATCTAGCAAACGAAGCAAATCAACTCCAGCATCTCATCTCATGCCCTAGAGAGTCATCTGGTAAGCTGATACTGAATTAAAATGCTTAATCTGCTGAACATGCAAGGTTTCCATGTACTTTGACCCCACATGAGGAGAGTAGATTCAGATAATACTGCAGAGACCATGCTATAATTTATACATCATCCTATGTCGTGGCAACAGGACCAAATATTACAAGTTGCAGATCTGTAGCAATACTATGTATGTAGTAAATTCGTAGCAGTTATCATTTAATGATTATCGGGCACCCTGAAGTTGCTTTATATATCACTGACAACATAACAGGGGAATTAAAGTGAGTGAGAGTTCCTTTTAGCATCCACATCGTCCCTCTTATGCTGCCAAAGCAACATAAATTGGTCTTAGAGCAGCGAAGTGCAGACTGTTCCAGTTTAAATCTGCTGCTAGTTACAGAGAGGTAGTGCCTGCCCATTTTATTTCAGACAGGAAAAAGTACCAGGAAAATGGCAGGAGCATCAATGTGTCGCTGATGTAGGCTGTAAATGCGTGCTGCAGAGCTACTTCCTTGATTTCAGGTGACACAGAAGAATAAGTTGAACCAAATGACACAGAAAAATGTTCTCTAGATTTGAGCTGTTTCAACAATAATTTGTTGTCCGTCAGACTCATGAGGCTTAACTAATGCTTTGTGAACTATATCAACTAGGATATCCTTTTTCACCAAAAATCTTTTCCAGTTGATTAGCCTGTAACTAAAATGTCTCTTGAGTAAGATACAAATTCTAGATGCCCTAATAAACTGACTAGCTAGTAATCCTCTCCCACTGCCACGCAGCTTTCGTTTCTGTGATCTTGGGGGGGTTATCCCTGTCAGTACAATTTCTTGTATAAAAAGAGTCGGTTATTTCCCACCAGCTCTGTATCTGACCTCACACCTCCTGATGTAAACATAAAAGTAAGTGTGGTTCTGCATCTGTCACCCCCATTCTGCATTCTGATCCTTCTGCCTCCCCGCCTTAATAAACCTGCTGGGCCACCAAAGGTACCAAGATTACTTGCTTTTACAGATTTTTAGGTGGTTTTAATTTTTGGGTATATATTTTTAAAAGATAACCATTAACTAAATATATATATATATATTTAAATCATGGCACAGGTCTGCAGTACCATTTTTGCGGGCTTGTGGAAAAGCAAATCACAAACTCACCTCTAACTGCAGTAGACTAGCAACATAAAAATCAAGCCTTGCCTTTGCAGCTCTTTATCCTAACAAGGTATGCAACAACAGGCAAAGCTTTCAGCCTGCAGAGACTAAGGGAGAATTCTAATATATAAGAGACGGGCACTTTCATTATCATTAACAAGCATGCTGGATTATTCATGAAAGCCTCACTTACGGATATAAGCAGGCATTTGCCATTTATTCCTTAGTGTAATTTAACTCAACGCATCACTTTTTAATGTTAACCTCGTGGAAGGTCTTTTGATCTTAATCTATTTTTTTTATTATTAACACTGTACTAAAACTCTGCACACATTTGCACCCACCCATCTAGAGTTGGATTACAGAGCCATCCATTAGGGGCAATACATGTATCAATGTCATGGGAAATATTGCAAGGATTACCAAAATGAAGAGTCTGGAATTAGCTGGAACTATACTGGAAGGACTGGCTCCTTAGAGCCACCCTGCTCTGCAGGTGAGTAGGAAGGCTGACACTTGGCATGCAAATATTGCTCTCTATGAAGGAGTTGATTTGTCTGAAAGGGAGCATTTTAGACCCTCGAAGCCACTGACCCACGGAATGCCCAGAGGAGGATGAACAAGGTGAGGTACTTACATGATGAAGGATGGTAACACTCGCCTCCGGGTGCTTCAA